ATACTTTAACTGTAACTCAACATTTATACACTTTATACATCAAATTACAAGGCAAATATATTCCGAGTCAACGACTCAATATAAAATTCAGTGGTCGTCGACTCCTGTTCCAAATTAACTCCTTGACTAAAGAAAACCAGAAAGACTCCCGGTGAATTTCAGTAGAACAAGAAAATTAAATATAAATATATACGTAAAATTACTCTTAGAAAAGAGTAAATATAAACAGTTTCTTTATATAACGAAATACACATATATACAACAAACACAGTCAATTTCTCATCTCTAATCCCTCTTTCCATATATTTTTTGGGTATTTGAAAATGTAATTTCAAAGACTTGCTCCACTGGAATGTTTAATAATTTGGAGATTTCCTCTGCTACAAAGTTGACAATATACGGGTTTAGAATTTGGTTTTCTTTATATTGAATATACGGAGCATCTGATTCTAAAACTAGGCGATCAATTCCATTTTCTTTGATAATTTCTCGAATATTTGGATAATGGTTGCCAAAAATAAAAGGGGTAATGCCGAAAACTAAATTGATGAAGTGTCTTGAAGCTATTAGATAAATTTCTTGGGATGAAGTGAAGCAATGCCAGTGGATCTTCTGTTATTTTGGGCAGCAGTTGACAAGAGAGGTAAGTAGAGTTAGATGAAGGGAATAATTTCCACGGCAATGTATGATGACTGGAAGACTATTTTTTACGGCAAATTGTAGTTGTTTCTCAAGATACTCAATTTGTTTAGATAGATTAACATTCCTATCCTATCCCTAACTTCACCCTACATATCTTTATCTTGTCTTTATTTGCATTGAGAACTGTAGCTGAAAGTTTTTCGCCATCAACTGTTATGGTCAAATCAACTAAATTTATAACAGCTTTTATGTGTTGTAAAACATCTAGTCCTAAAATTACCGGATCTGTTATATCGGCAACTATGACCCTCCATCTTGTTTTAGTTTTGCCAACCTTGATGGCTACTCTTTCTGAATATTTTGCAGTGATGCTGTTGTCTTTCCCTGCTCCTTTCGATATAACTGGTTCTTTAACTTCAATTGCAGGATTCAAGGATTTAGCAAAATCAAAATTGATAACCGTTACCTGTACTGCAGTGTCAACAATTGCATCAGCCTGTTTACCATTTATAGTTATTTGAAGTACTAAATTAATGGGTTTATATTTGGTATCATCTCCATACATTGAAACTTCTTTCACTTTAAATTGACTAATGACTGTTGGGACCTCCTCATTCTTGTAGTGGCTCGTCTCACAAGTACCAAAGCAACCAGTAATTGTTGTGGAACGAGTCACATCCAAGTTTGAGTTGAATGGTCCTTGCTTATTGATGTTTGAAACAAGATTATGAGAACCAGCATTGCCGGTTACACTCACAATTTGTTCAATTTCAGTTGTTGGTGGACGACCTGTGTGTGGATTATGGACTAAAGACCGGTCTATTTCTTCAGTCCTTGGGAGTTTAAATGTTGGTCTCTTTCAACTGGTTTTGGTGATGATGATCTTAGAACTCTGGCAACGGCTGTTGTATTAGGGCAATTCCTTTCATAATGCCCTTTTTCATGACAACGAAAACACTCGTCATTAGACCTATCTGGACTTCTTCCTGGTGATATGGACCTTCGATTCGGACTACCAATCGATTGTCTAGAAATAGCCATCAGAATTTTCGAAACATCATCTTTAATGTCACCAATGTCCTGTTCAGTCTTTTTAAGACGTGACTCAACTGAGGACTGCCAATCAGAAGATGGAGTCTGTCTCCTGTCGTATGATGTTGAAGATCTCCTGTCATACCTATTTAATGCTCGAACAGCAAGTTCTGAAGATTCTGTTTCGGAATCATTATCAGAGTCAAAGTGAACTCTTTTGACAACCTCTTGTCTCTTGCCGAGCACAATTCTTTGGTTGTGTATTGAACTCTTTACACACTGTAGAGCAGTATCTAGTGTAATTGGATTCTTCTCCATAGCGAAAAGAGTAGCCTTTTTGTCACTACAGCCCTTTAAAAATGCATCTACGCTTATGGTTTCAACGACATTTTCAGGTGTATGTGGTCCGTACCCATCAGTAGCCATTTCCTTGACCCTTTCTGCAAACTCCTCTACTGTTTCATCAATATTTTGTCTTACTTCCTGTAATTGTAATGATATAGGGTAGATCTTTATTTCCAAAACGTTGATTCATCTTTTCTGAAAGTAGTACAAAAACATTTTGGACTGATGGCGGACGAGTACTATAGAACTTCAGTGCTTTATCACGCAAACATTCTATAAGTGTGTCTAATCTTTGCTTACTATCCCACCTGTACCGATTGGAAAAATGAATAAATTGCATGTATTAGGGTTTCCATTCTGTCTTCCCATCATAGCATGGAAGCCTTTGTGGTGATGGACCACGACTGTTTGGTTGTTTGTTCTGCTCAGGTATTTGGACAGTGTTTGACGTGTCAGTTACTTTAGTTTCTGTAGCTTATATATTGCTTTTAGGATTTTTTTCATGCTGTACTATTGTTTCTGTAACTCTTTTGGACATTTGTAAATGTTTTATTTCTTCTTCAAGACGATCACATTTCTTTCTTGCTAATTTTTCGCGTTCTATGGTGAGTGCCTGTGTTGCCCGCCCTTCATTTAATTTAGTTATCAACTGATTTGTCTTTTCCATAAATACAGCTTTCTCACTTTCAAACTTCTTCTCTATGGATCCATTTGTTCTTTTTGTTTTTCAAGTTTTTCAAGTTTGTCTTGATCAACCTTGATCAGCAATTTTTCCTTTTCCTGTTGATTGAACTCCTGCAGGGCTGATGACTCCCTTGCATACTTTTGTTTTATTTCTTCTATCAATTTAGCATACTCATTCTTTTCCTCCAATTCCCCTTCCAATGCATCTTGCAAATCTTTTATCTGATGTTTTAATTCATGTTGTATGGTTGCCTTTTCTTGAGTTGCAATTAACAACCGTGTGTCAAAATTGTTCTGATTTTTTTTCATTTCCTGTTCAGCATCTTGTTTTTGATTGAAAAGTTCTGTTTTCAACTTCTCGATTTGTTTTTTCTGATCCGCACTGTCATCAACTTCTTCTGTGTTTTCAAAAATAATTCTACCTGCTGCTACGAGAGGGTCCCACATAGTATTTGGAAGACCTTGATTTAATTTCAAATCCTCAAGTGTTAATTTTCCCTTATCTATCCTTGCAGCAATAATAATTTTAGCTCTTGCCTCCCCAATATCTTTAATTGTAATCAGTTCTTCTTTACTTGCCGTGTTTATATTCACCACTTTCGACATGATTGCTTTGTATTGTATTATGTCAATATACGGCTTAGTTCACACGCGATATAATGATGTAAATTATTTACGGTGTGTAACAATAATCTAGACCAACAAATGTAATATTGACCAGATCTCCCGGTATAAAATATTACACCTGTGCAATCAATAAATACAAAATTGGCTCCTTAAGTGTAAATATTTAAGTGTGATTGAACAAAATTGAAATGAACACTTTATTTCAATATTTTTTATTTATTTTTTTTTTTTTTACAAATTACAACTTCTGCTCCCTGTAATAATAAAACACATAAATATTGAACAGAAAATATATGTTACTTCAGGGGAATCAATGTAAGTGTGTATGCAATAGTTTATTACAGACCCACGAGCGAAATCACGAAAATATAATTTTCTGAATCCCGCCAAATATGAAATTGGCCGTGTCAAAATAAACACAGAAAAATCTCAATTTATAGCCACAACAGCGTTCACATCAGACACCAATGTTGTATCTCAGTTACGGGCGTTAATACTCATGGCTACAAACCTTTAACTATCTGTTTATAGGTAGACTTCGTTGTCTTCGAGGTACCAACATCAGGTGGCACGTCTTGTTGGGTTGAACTGTATCATCGAAGTGAGGTTTCCGGTGTTGCGCATTGTCACGTAAATGTTCCTCCGTGATTGGAGCACCTCGATATTGAACTTTACCACATGTTGCTCTTCGTGTCAGTTATTATATTCTTGTTCCAGATTGAATAGTGTATATTTATAACGTGAGAGTAACCAAATTACACCTATTTTGACCGTTTTTCACCTACATTTATTTATGATCCAGACAAAAGATTCCATTCTGGGTTTATTTTGTAGATGTATCCTTATTTACTATACAGTTCCACCGATTTAATTTTGAATCCATATTGAATCAGAAAAATGGGTTCGAACCGACATCCAAACGATCCACGATTGTGTAATGAGGAGTACCAAATTGCATCCATGCTTAGCTTCACATCCTTAAAAATCGTATAACAGATGTTTAGTTTTGTTTTAATTCTTCAAATGATTAGAACTGACATTAGTCCATGCTTACTATTCATTTTTTAAGAAATGGATGCTTATAACATATTTTATTTGCTCACTTTCAATAGATGACTTTTTGTTGACGTCGCCTGGCGACGTTTCCATAGATTTTACAGTGAATATTTCATCTGTTTATATACTGTGAAAGTTTTGTGCTTTATATGTAGATGTGATTAGCTAAATATGTTGAAAGATGTGCATAATGTCAAATCGTAAAAAGACAAATTGTTTAGTCTCTAAAAAAAACTTTCCGCTGCTTTTATTTGCTAAAAAGGTGCATTTTGGGTACTCGGTGCAACTTGAGTACTGTACTGTTAGATGAGATTGAGCAAAATTTGACGGCTCTCTACCTCTGACCATTATTTTTTCTGTTTTTTAAACTACTACTCTGGTTTAATACGTAGATTATACAAGTTTCAAACTGTAACAGGTATTGCATGCAGTGATTCAGGTAGACACTGATCACATGACATTTGCTTATCTTTTCCACTTTTAAAAAAGTCCTTAAAGGAACTGACAATTTTAGTTCACTTACTTCTTAGAAATGTTTAAAAGGTGGAAAATGAACTGAAGCTCCTGAAATCAAGCTGAATCACAGTGTAAATATTATCATACTTTGATTACAGGTTATACCTCTTCGGTTAATTATGATGTGACGTTAATGATTTGTTTACTAAGAAATTTGTCCATCATTGCGCCACCTTCACTTGGATTTGACAAATTACCACCAGCCACAGAAATCAGTGATGGAGCAGATTTAGCCAGAATAAAACACCACAGAAATTTTATTGCTCATCCTGGCAAAGATGAATTATCAACTTGTGAATTTAACAGTATGTGGGCCTGTGTATCTGAGGTATGATTGAAAACATATATAAGATCATATAAACAAGAAATAGATCACTTTCGAGTTATGTCCTTCATCGGAAAAGTTCGTCAATTATGCGCGCCTTTATGACGTCATTTACCAGATATGATTCAGATAGAGGGAATCGCCTGTATCCATGCACTATTAAAGTTCTTCAAGCGTTTTAGTGATCGGCATCACAATTCCCTAATGACAGCAGTGATGATTATCAATTATAAAAATATAGTTTGGCGAATAATTGGGGCAATATAGCAACTTATATTTTTCAACCGGTCGCTAAACATGGGAAGGAAGTGACTATGCCCCTAAACGCTCGAATGATGTTCACTAAAGCCAAAGTTTTTAACGAAAATGTATCATGTTTTTCGTATTTCATGGTGAATATAAGTTAATTAGCTTTCAATTGAAACAGGCTGAACGATTGAAATAATTTGAAAAATGGATTAAATATACATGTTTTAAGTGGAGACAACACTGTAAACTTCCTGCTGTTTTGTAGTGAAAATTGAAAACCTATTTGTAGCTACTGTAGCTCTTTCCGAAGCAGGCGAACGTAACCTGAAACGAGAATTTTTTAGAAGACCAGGTAAACATCTATGAAATTCATACAGTTTTTATTATCTGAAATTTGCCTGTATAATGCCTACATGGGTATGCCAATGACCTGATTTAGAAAACAAACAAAGTTTAATTTTGGACCCCAATTTGGATAAACTTTAAAAACAAGCCTAAAACCAAAAATCTAAAACATGTTTGATAGGGCATATCAAATAACACTAATAATTCAATTTTTGATGCATTCAAACAAAGTTCAATTTTGGACCCCAATTTGGACCAACTTGAATACTGTGCCCAAAATCAAAAATCAAAAAACAAGCTTAGATATAGCATATCAAAGAACCCCAACACTTTTTTTTTTAAATCAAACAAAGTTTAATTTTGGACCCTTTGCACTTTAATGTTGAACAATTTTAAAACAGGCCCCAAAATTAAAGATCAAGCACAAAATCAAAATATCTAAAACACTGTTGGAGTGACCATATCAGATAACAAAAACAATTAAATTTTTGAAGAAATCAAACAATGTTCAATTTTGGACCATCTTGAAAACTGTGCCCAAAATCAAAAATATAAATACACGCTTAGATTCTGCATATCAAAGAACCCAAATATTCGTTTTTTTCAAATCAAACAAAATTTAATTTTTGACCCTTTGGACTTAAATATGGGCCGACCATGCCCAAATAAAAAAATCTAAATACACGCTTAGATTCAGCATATCAAAGAACCCCATCAACTCAATTTGTTTTTAATTTTAAAGTTGTATTTTGGACGCTTTGGACCTTTATGTGGACTAATCTGAAGACAGACCTCAAAATCAAAAAATCTAAATACACAATTAGATTCAGCATATCAAAGAACACCAATAATTAAATTTTTAAAGAAATTTAAACAAAGTTTAATTTTAGACCCTTTTGGACTTTATATGGATAATTTCAAAAACAAACCCTAGAATTCAAATTCTAAATTTAATAGAGATCTATACAGTTATACTCAAGTTATTGTCTGTGAACCAGACAAATAATTGTTTTTATAAGACCCTTTATGGGCCCTTATTCCTAAACAGCTACTATAAAACCCCCAAAATAAACCAAACCTTCTTATTGTGGTATGGAGTCTTGTGCTAAATTTCAATAGAGATCCATATACTTATTCTCAAGTTATTGTCTGCAACCAAAATGTCTTCAGACGCAGACGCAGACAACACCATGACATAAGACAAACGCAAAATAAATATGGCATCATTTGGCATTCATTATTGTCTATCCGTCCATCAATTGTTCGCAGAATTTTTGAAAAGATCGTCCTCTCTGAAACTTCTTGGCCTTCATATGGAGTAAAACCACAATTGTTTGTCCCCTTTATTAGTCTTTGCTAAATTTGGACTTTTCAAAATCTTTTGCAGAATGTATCTTTGTTTAAAATGAAGAAATGCATGGTATGAGTTAAGTTTTATCCTTTCCAGTACTACAGACAAAATTTCACATAACATTTCATTGCATTTAAGACAAAAATCATCACTGGAAATTAACCATTCATATTTCACCTTTTTTTCCTTTTGGACAAGCTTTAGTAACGATTTAACCTCAAGTTTCCAAAATATTTAATATAAACACCAAATAAATTTTTTTTAAGTAGTGATTAACACCTTTAATACACATTTAAGTTTCAATTATATCTACACAGACAAAAAGGCTACTTGATCATTAAATAATCACTATTTGTTAATCTCTTTTTCTTGGTTGAAAGTATGTGTTAAAAATTGGGCTGAAATATTAAAAAAACAACGAAACAATGTTATTCCTTTAACAGAGAAAGCACAGAGACATTTACATTCAAAGTAAATCTGTCAAACAAAATTATGTCAACAAATAATACAAATAATAAACTTCACCTTTTCTAAGTTTTTTTTTATAGATAATATGTTTATGTTCAAAATATTATATACACAATTATTCGCTCAGATTTATTTTTTGTTATGTGAAGATCAAATGTTTAAAAAAGTTCTTTTCAATACTACAGTATACAATGGAATCGTAAGTAATCTTAAATAATCATGCTCACTTTAAAGAAAAGTAATCTAATGTAATCATTTACATTTGAATTAAGGTGTAATTGTAATGTAGTCGATTAATTCAAATAAGCAAAATAATGTAATTTAATTGATTACAGTTTAAAGTAATCGATTCCATGCATGACCTAAAGAAGACCATTTTATACGACATTTGCACATTTGCGGTATTATTATTTTATGGTGTTGTCTGCGTCTGGAGACATTTTGGTTCACAGACAATAGCTTGAGTATAATTTCATGGATCTCTTGCGGTTTTGTAAATAGTGGCTGACAAAGGTCAATTTTACTGGTTCATGGAAAATAAATTGGTTCGCAGACAATAACTGTAGTGAAAGTGTATGGTTGTGTGAGAAATTTTAGTATAAGTTTCCATTCTACAATAGGAGGGTTTGGGTTGATTTTGGGGGTTATTGTCATAGCGCTTTTGTAATAAGGGGCCAAAATATTATGTGTCTGGTTTGAAGACAATAACACTTGAGTATAAGAGATATATATATATTTGGTCAGTGCTTTAGCACAAGGTTTCACTACACAATAGAAAGGTTGGGACTAATTGTAGGGTTTACGGTCATAGCTGTATAGAAATTAGGGGCCAAAAAGGGTCTAACAAAACATTTGTTCAGGTCCACAGACAATAACTTGAGTATAAGTGTATGAATCTCTTATAAATTTTAGCACAAGGTTCTATTCCACAATAGGTAGGTTAGGATTTATTTGGGGGTTATTGTCGTTGCTGATAGGAATTAGGGGCCGAGAGGTGCCAAAAACATGCATTTTTCATGTTTCAGGACAATAATTGGTGTATAAGAGTATATATTTCTATTAAATTAACCACAAGGTTCCATACTTCAAAAGGAAAGTTTGAAATGATTTTTGGAGGGGTTGGCGCATATCGTTCAATAATTAGGGATCGAAAAGGGCAGAGAACAACTATTTTTCTGGTGAGCACAAAAAACAAACTTTAAATGGTTGTGTGTCAGTCAATAACTCTGCTGCAGCTGTCAAATATGGGCACCAAAAATAGAGCTCAGTTTGCTGAACAAATAACCTTAGATAAGTTTGGGTATTTTATGTCCTTTTTTGCCATACAGCTCTTCACGTATTTTGGTTCTTAGACATCATAGGCATTCAAATGTTTAGGTCATAACTCTCCTGATGAAGGTACGTTTAAAAAAAAAGGTCTTCGGATGCACAAAATTGATAAAAATTAATGTCATTTGCATTTAAATGCACTGGTTTTAGACCGCTACTGCTGGACTGTTAGTCCCGACCCGAGGGTATCATCAACTTAATTCTCAGTACTAATATGATTTTTTAAACAATCTTCTAAAAGTTCTCCTTTGAAGAATTAAGAAACCAAGGTTCTAACTCCCTAAAGTTGACAATAGATGATTTTTGTTTTGTTTTTAGGTCCCTTTTGGTGATAAAGCCCTTGATATTTGAACACAGTTTTATCCAGGACTGTTGCTTTTAAACGGACAATCAAAGAGAAATGAATTGAAATATAAAAAAAAAAAACACCAAATGATGTGTTTGGTAAATTAGTCTGAGCTTGGGACTGTTAATGTTTGCTTTGGCTAACCTAGATTAATACTGGATTTGACTTAATATATTTGTTCTCAGAAAAGATCCAAAAACTGTAGGTCGAAAGATTTAAATAGGACAGTGAGTTATGGTCCATTGTCATATTATTTTTTAAAAATGAATTGACCATAACGATATTGACAATAAATACTTCTATGTTATTTTAGGCTGTTTATCGTCTTGGGGGAACTGGATACATATCTAAATGTGATGATTTGAGCCAAATGAATCTGAACAAAGATGTTTTAATACATGTTAAACAAGATCTGACAGCAGTTCGTAGAGAAATGGATGACCAAAAAAAAGATCTTCAAACTGACGTTGATAAAGTTAAACATGACCAGACCATAGTAACAGAGAAGGTTGAACATTTCCAAGAGGATTTAAGTTCCCTTCAAACTAAGCATACATCACTTAAGGAAGATATCACTGTCAGAGCTGCAGACTTAGAAAAAAACATTGAAACTGTCAAAATGGAGCAGGACACATTAAGTTCCCTTCAAATTAAGCAGACATCATTTACGGAAGATATCTCGGTCAGAACTGTAGACTTACAAAAACAATTTGACACAGTCAAAATGGGTCACGACACATTAAAGGAGCAAGTAACTTTTCAAACTTCAAAAATCCAAGAAAATTTAGACAGCTGCAATTGTGAAGGTATGTTAAATTGTTTCTATTCGAAAACAATACTATTTCAAAGTATTGGTACCTTATTGTTTAACTTAAAATAAGTCATGTAAGATCGAAATATAGGTCAAGAACAAAGTTAGCCTGAAGATATGATCTTTGATTTGAAATAATAATGACATTCAATACAAACAAGTTGATAACTTTGTCTTATATTTTATGAGTGGGGTAATTTGAATTTGGTGTTGAGGTCTGGATTAAAGGAATTCAAATTTACAGGACAAATAATGATGCCACACAATTTGAATGAAACCATTGGGAAATAACATTTTTATCGTTTTCCTTAAACTCTTGGTAATTTTCAGACAAACCTTTAAGAAATACATTTCTGATTATCATACAATGTTCTTTTTGTTGATCATGAGTAAAACATTGCCAGTGGGTGCGATTCATGATTCTGTTTGTAATTTTTTAACTTTTCTTAATTTCTCTGAACAACATGAATTGTTCGGGCAAAACTTTCCAGAAATAATGAAAGTTATACCAATTATATGATTTTTTCACTTTGCTCTAATAAGGCAAGGATATGGTAACCAATATAAATTCTTGACCAAAAATCATCATCTTTCTAAAAAACGGATTAAGAGATCCTCTAAAATGTATTTTCATCGTTTGTCATGATCAAATTGCATCCATGGTAGTCATGATTTCGCATAAACTCCTTTGAAACATGGGAATTCAAATGTCCATCTTTGATTATGACATATTCAGCTATTGCTCTCACTCAATGTCCCTTGATGTCCCATTGTCATCATACAGTTTAAAAAAAAATATCATCTAAATAACTTCGACCAATTAACAACAAAGTTCTGATCCTAGTACAAAAGGATGAAATTCTAAACAATTAATTGAGAAGACTTTGACTGGAATTTTAAAATGACCTATATTGGTAAAAAGAAAAATGCACTGCAAAATTGATTATGTTCTAGAGTCATATCCCCCTTCCCCATTCTCCTTAGCGTAACATTAATTTTACTCATAAAAATGGTACGACATAGATTTATTATTTTGTGATATAATTCGGAATATTTTGTTCAAAATTAGTGCGAAAATAAAACAAGCTACAACTCAAAACACGTGATTAGTATGCTGGTATTTCCCATTGACAACATATTCGTTGATTTTGAAAGTAGAATTTTCCAGCAGTTTGTCGGCATTCCTTTGGGAACTTACTGTGTAACTCTTCTATCCGACCTTTTTTTTTTTAACTTATTTTCACATGAGTTAGAGTTCCTGTAAAATACTAGGACATCAAAAAAAGCTAGATCATTTAATTTCACATACAGGTATATAGTTGATGTTCATTTCATCAACTATCTCAACTTTTCTGCTTGTGTCCTTTTAATATATCCTCCTGAACTAGTGATTGAGGAAACCACAGATGCAGCTTTCTCTTCCTAATTTCTAGACATTTACCTCGAATTGGACAACACCGGTCATCCCATTAAAAGAATCTTTGACAAACGAGACTCTTTCGATTTTAAAATTAAAAATTTTCCCCACATAAGCAGCAATATGCAAACTTAAGCCGTGAATGGAGTATGCATTTCTCAACTCATACGATATTCAAGAGCTTGTAGCTACCACTCAAACTTTGTAAAACGTCATCTGTTTCGGAGAAAAAATAATGAGCTAGGGTTTTGTCAAAGAAAGTCTTGCACTCTTTCTAAAAAAATCCATCCGAGAGTACTAAGACCTTAAAGATAAATATTCAGTGTTTTCTTCACAAACAATACAAGGTTGTCTTTAGTTATAGATTTAGTTTGCGTAACTTTTTAATTACTTAAGTTTTCCCTTAATTGCTTTTGTACTATTATTTTCCTTTGATTGTATGACTCTTGACTTAACTCGGTATTTGTGCATCCACCTTTCGGGTTTTTGATTCAGCCATGCTGGATCTATAGACATATCATGCAATTAATTATGTGTTTTAATGACTTGCAGAATCGTTATTCATCATTTTGATAATTTAGTGCCAAATTTTGACAAGTTCTTAGCGCTTAAATTAAGAAAATGTTGGTCGAACTGCTACTTTTTGCATTTGCATATAGTTCCTTTGTAAATCAAAATTTATAACAAAATACTGCATATGAATAAGAAAAAGTGATATATCAAATTTAATCAGTTGATTAGAATTATAAAAGTATGTCATCAGTATCTTAATATGCTTGTGTAATTTATTAATTAAAATTTATTACAAGATAATAATAATAATGTATTGATATCAAAGTCGATTCACACACTTTTTTGGAATGACATTATTCCAATTCTTTCCTTAGGCAAGTACAAGTTTTGGTACAATACAGTATGATAGACAACTGTCATTATTTACAATCAATTTCACTAAAAGTTGGAAGTATTAATTGGAATCACCTCCACGTTAATGTCAATCTTAATGTCTCTAGTATAACATTTGAATACACACTTCATTATCGAAATACGATTATGATGGCGGACAGGTGTCAACAGGTGTGAAAATCAGGTGAAAAAAAGTTTGACCATTTCCTATAATACATTTATCGTGAGCTATTGACAATTTCTGTGGATATTGACTATCAACTTTTCGAATTGATTTATAATGTCAAATACTCCTAAAACATTTCAAAAACGATGTAGATCTACAGAAGGTGAGACACCCCGCCCCGAATGTAAACAATCCAAAATGGCCAATACAGACGATATTTCAAGCTCAATAAAACTTTTAGTTTCTACTGTAAATGAGATAAAACAAGGCCAAGAAAGTATGAAAAAATGTTCGAGTCAAAAATCGACAAACTTAGAAACGATGTTCTGTCTACAATTTATCAAAAGATGCAGGTTTTAAAATCTGAAATTCACCTTGATTTGGCGAGAGAGTCATCACGTATTGACGATTCAGCAAATTCTGTTCACTCACTTTCTAAATGCTTCAACGACATTGAAGAGTTCATGAACAATTTAAATACCCAAGCCGATAGTATTAATCCTTCGATGACCGTAACTCAAATACACAAGTTAATCAGTTGAGCAATTATGCAGTTACCTTATAGTGAAAAATTTACAGTTTGCCGAAAATGAGAATTTAATTGAGATAATGAATGATATCATTCATAAACTAGGACAGTCAGTCGCAAATGAAGTTAAAATCGCTGCTGTCACGCGTCTTAAACCAAGGCTTCGTGGAAAACCGGGATTAGTGAAAATGAGTCTTGAGAACACGGATCAGAAAATTCTTATTCTCCGCAATAAACACAAACTGAAAACCGATGAAAACTACAAAACAGTCTTTATTCAGGGCTCGAAATCAAGAATTGAATAACTATTAGAGAATAATACTCGCGCAATACTTCGTGAACTCTCACAGGGGAATCATTTTAGATTAACGGGAAACGGCAGAATATTGTGAAAAACTAAAAATAACGAAGAGAGCGAAGTCGATGCTCCGACCAAACACAGTTAGTGTGTATCCTGGCCCAATGGAACGATATAACTAGGTCATTTAAACGTTTGTGGTTAGACCGTTAAAAACAATCTACTAAGGACTTAAATAGTGGAAGCCGTCGATGCTGATATTTTTAGTGCATGTGAAACACATCTTATTGCAAGTGACAATTTGCACATAAACTGATAGATATGGAAAGGCTTTAATAGACAACATATTCATCGTGATGCAACGAAAGGCACAGGTGGTGTAGGATTATTAATAAAACAATGGGTTCTAAATGATTACAATTTTGAAGTGGTCGATGCCAGTTTTGAAGGACTTTTCTGTATAAAATTTATGCTGTGGTCACACCTTACCGGATAGCTCGAACTGACGCCGAACGGATGAAAAAAAAAAGTTTTCGTTGAAAAATTTTTTATCCGTTGGGAGTCCGTTGCTGTACTGACCAAATAAAACAGACGCGTAACGAATGTCTAACGGACACTCACAGGATATGCAACGTTCGAGAAACGGAAACGTACCGGACAGATTGGATGTCGAACGTACATCCAACGGACGAGTACCTTATAAAACGGACACCTAACAAAAGAGTACCGGATAAAATGGATGAACAAGATAAGCGGAAATTAAAGGCGGCAATAATAATACATGTAAATCACATACACGTGACCTTAAAATAATTAAAAAGTTTCCGTGTAATTGGTTTTAGTTTATTCTTCAAAATGCCGCCAAAGGGTAGGGGTGGAAAAGGAAGAGGAAAACAATGTCAGAGAAAAATGCCAATAATGCCGCCTGACCATGATTCAGAAGTCGAGCCAAATACAGAATTTGATGCCACTGAAAACCCACGAGAGGTTGGCATTTCTGACGCGTTCTAGTCGGTTTCACATCCGTTCATCATCCGTTTTATCCGTTATACGTCCAGTAGAAGTCCGTTGGTGAATTGGTCTACCGGACCTCCAACGGATGTATAACGGACAAGTAACGGATACAAAACGGAAACGGAACGGACGAGTACCGTAAAAAACGGACGTCTACCGGACGTTCAACGGACACTTCATCCGTTGGACGTCCGTTCAAAGTTTTGAACATGCTCAAAATTATACACCGGACAGAACGGACGTCGACGGATAAAACTGACACTGAACGGACATGAAACGGATATGGACGGACGTCTAATGGATAAGAACGGACGTATAACGGACATGAACGGATTGAAAAAAAAGTTATCCGTTTGGCGTTCGTTCGCGCTATCTGGTAAGGTGTGACCGGGGCTTTACGTCACAATCAACAGACTTTAGTTTTACCGTCTTTTCGTGTTATTTGCCACCGGAAGGTTCAATTAGGGGTCGAAATTCACAAAACTTTTTTTCGCACTTATTGCTAAATATCTATGATCAGGTTGAAAGTGACTATATCGTCATTTGTGGTGACTTCAACTCACAAATTGGTACACAAAATGACTTTTCTGATTTCGATTCAATACGAAGCAGGACAGCGATGGACAAAACAGTCAATCAACATGGGAAATCATTCTTATAGTTCTTGAATGAATCAAAAACGTGTGTTTTAAACGGTAGATACGACTCGAATAAAGACAATACATTGTATATTAGGAAGATGGCAATCCGTGGTGGATTATATGTGTGTTCCTCACGACGTTCTCGATCTGTTCCTCATTCCAGGTTATTACTACCCGATCTGTAATTGAGCAGATTAATCTTTTCCAATTTCTAGGTAACAGGAGTAAAATCCCAGACCATTCTATTCTATTGGCAGAATTTAAAACATTAACTAACATATCCGAATATAGTAGCTCGAAATTAGATAAGTTCAAACGCTTCAGGCTTAAATCGATTCCTAATGACTTTTTTTGGATCTGATCTACGAAAAGCAGCACTTTAAACCTTAATTCAACGTATTGAGACCACAAGGGAGACTCTAAGTCACGTGGATAATATCTATTCGGATCTTTGTACTTTGATAGTTGATGAAATGAACTGCTAAATTCCAGTATTTGATGCAAGTAGAAAGACAAGAAAACGACATACAAGTTCTAAACTTTTCTGGAATGAAGAACTCGGCCAACTGTGGAACGCAATGCGTCTTAAGGAAATCAGGCGTTTAATACATGTGGCAAAGAATGGCAAGGCTTGGGGAATCGAATTCATACCGTATGCAGTCTTGAAATATGAATCTGTGATAAGCGTGCTTCATTCTCTGTTTCAGCTTATATTTAAAACTAGCATTATTCCATCAATCTGGCGACAGGCAATGGTTTGTCCAATTCTTAAAGATAAATCATCCAATGAGCGAAGTCCTCTTAAATATCGTGGAATAAGTCTGCTCTCTTGTATCTCAAAACTATATAGTGCGTTTATAAACAGCCGAGTATCCGCTTATTTAGAAATAAACGACATGTTAGCAGACGAACAGAATGGGTTCCGTGTGCACCGCTCATGTGAAGACCATATTTTCACACTAAATACAATTGTGAGGAACTGTCGAAAAACGTTTGCAACATTTATCGATTTAAAAAAGGCATTTGACATTGTTGATAGAGATATGCTACTGTATAAGCTTCTTTTAAATAAAATCGATGGGAAAATTTATAACTATATCAAAAGCATTTACGTCAATACTACCGCTTGTATTCGATTGAATGATACTTTGACGGATTGGTTTAGTTGTAATTCCGGTGTTCGACAAGGCGACAATCTTTCGCCGACACTTTTCTCTATTTTCATCACTGACTTATTGCAGGAAGTTAAGGACCTTGACCTTGGTGTTAGCATTGGAAACTCAAATCTTTCGATACGGTTGTATGCTGACAAAATAGTGATAATTTCACCCAATGAAAATGACATGTAAGCGATGTTGAACAAAGTCCATGACTGGTGTAAGCGATGGCGGGTACCTATTAACACCGAGAAATCGAAAGTAGTACATTTCCACCAATCTCGTATAAAACGATCCGAATATAAGTTTAAAATTGGAGGAAATTCATTACAGACTGTTGACAAGTACAAATATCTGGGTGAAATGTTCCATGAATTTAAAGACTATAAAGTGAATGCTGAGAGATTGTCGGAAGCTGGAGGGCGAGCACTCGGTGGAATAATTTCAAAAATTCATAATCTTAAGAGTTTTGGAATAAAGACATTTGAAAAACTGTTTACATCATGTATCGTACCGATTTTAGACTATAACTCCTCATTCTGGGGTTTTAAAGACTATGCATGTGTTAACTTGGTACAAAACAAAGCCATTCGTTATTTCTTGGGTGTTCATAAATTCGCTCCGAAAGTTGCTACAAATGATGTTGGATGGCTGCCATGTAAAGAAAGACACTGGTACAATATGATTAGACTATGGAACAAGCTCACTCGAATGGACGATTCACGCATATGTAAACAGGTTTTCAACTGGGACCTTGAACGGTGTTTGAACAATTGGTCATCAGATGTGAAACTTATTTTGTCACACATTGACATGGAAGATTATTTCTGCCAAATACAGACTTGTAATATTTCTCTTCTAAAAGACATACTTTTCATGTTGTGTTCCAATGAATGGGAAAACTCTATTACAAACTTTCCAAAATTGCGGACATATAAAACATTCAAATCAGAATATAAATGTGAAACATATGTTGGATTGAACCTCACTCGTGCTGAACGTTCTATACTGGCACAATTTAGATGCGGCATACTTCCTTTGAGGATCGAAACAGGACGGTTCGTTGGAGAAGCAGAAGCTGATCGCATTTGCAAAATGTGTGACTCACATTGTGTTGAAAATGAACGCCACTTCCTGATGGACTGTGATTTTTACCGAGATTTAAGAATTCAACTTATACTGAATATAGAACACTCTTTTGAAGACATCTCTAAAGATGAACAATTTAAAGTGCTTATCTGCAAATATCCTAGAAAAACTGCTAAATTTTTTAACAATGCATTTAATAAGAGAAAAAAATTTTTGTATTGGAACAATCAAACATGAATTCTAATTTTGTCCGCTGTTAAATGATTATTCTTTTTATATGTATAAATGTTTAAAGTGACTTATAGGTCCAAAGGGCCGGGTGTTGATACATGTTATTACAACCGCTTATTGATATATTGTTTAATATTATAAAACACATGTCACTATAATAAACAATTTGGTATTGGTATTGGTATTATACATCTCAGCTTATTGTCAATTTTTTACCTCAACAATTTACCTATGATCACTTTTCATCTGCACTAATAGTCACTATATATATTTAATTTGGAAATTGTGTCTGAAATATGAATTATTAAGGAATAAAAAGATGCATTTTTTTGCAAAGAAAAGAATAAAAACTAAATTGCAAGCAGGGTCTATTTTTATACGACCGCAAAATTTTGGTTTGCAGACAATAACTTGAGTATAAGTGTATGGATCTCTCCATATCACTAATGGGAATCTGTGATTGTTTTTGGGGATATTGTCATACCCGTTTTGTAATTAGGGGCCAAAAAGGGTCATGTTACCTGGTTTATAGACAATAAATTGGTTCGCAGACAATCACTTTAGTATAAGTGTATGGATCTGTATGAAATTTAAGCACAATGTTCTATACAACCAAAGAAAGGCTAGGATTGTTTTTAGGAATATAATTATTGTCGTAGCTTTTACTGGTAAGTAATTAGGGGTCAAAAAGGGACCAAAATGAAGCATTTTTCATGTTTCAGGACAATAATTTGTGTATAAGAGTATGGATCTCTATGAAGTTTTACCACAAGGTTCCATACTTCAAAAGAAAAATTGGGATTCATTTTAGGGGTCATGGTCCAAACTTTTTTATAACTAGGGGCTGAAAAGGGACCAAAAACCATAACTGTTCTGGTTTTCAGACAGTAACTTGAGTATAAGTGTATGGATCTCTATTAAATTTTAATTCAGGGTTCAATACCAAAATAGAAAGGTTGAGATTTTTTTTGGGGTTATTGTCATAGCTGATAATGAATAAGGGCCAAAAAAAGGGCAAACAAAAAATATTTTTCCAGGTTCACAGACAATAACTTGAGTATAAGTGTATAGATCTCTATTGAATTTTAGCACAAGGTTCCATACCTCAATAGAATGGTTGGGATTTATTTTGGGTTTATTGCTTAGCTGTTTAGAAATAAGGAACCAAAAAGGGGCCAAAAACAAGCATTTTCATGTTTCAGGACAATAATTTGAATAAAGGTATGGATCTCTATGAAATTTTACCAAAAGGTTCCATACTTCAAAAGAAAAGTTGGGATTGATTTTGGGGGTCCTGGCCCAAACCGTTTAATAATAAGGGGCATAAAACAGACAAAAAAAGTAGAATTTTCAGGGTTCTAGATAACAACTTTAGTATGTCTATGGATTGCTATTTAACTGTATCACAAGGTGTTATGCCATAAAATAAAGTTTGGGATTGATTTTAGGGTTTATGACCCTAAAGGTTTAGTTAAGAGGGACCAAAACCAATTCTTTTGTAATACTTTTTTCTGTATTCTTATCTTTCATTTTTGCTAATTATGCTTTGTCTGTATGCCTGTTTGTGTTTCTTTGTTACATATGACGTGACTCTGTACTTATACATCCCGTTGTTGTGCCATGGTAAATGTTTGTTTACATATTTGTTTGTTTCTATAGTGATTAAGATAATAACACAATGCTGACTGCTGTTCCTCTTTATTTGACATTTTTACCTATTATGTCTGTTTGTTTTGTTCACACATCGTTGTCAATATAATGGAATTTTATGCAACTGTCATACAAGTGAGAGGTTTAGCTAGATATTAAACCAGGTTTAATCCACCACTTTCTACTTTAGAAAATGTCTGTACCAAGTCAGGAATATGACAGTTGTTGTCCATTCGTTTGATGTGTTTGAGCTTTTGATTTTGCCAGTTGATTATGGAATTTCCGTTTTGAATTTTCCACGGAGTTCAGTATTTTTGTGATATTTCTTTTTTTTTGTATGAATTGATAATTTTTTTAGTCATTTCCATGGGGTTTAATTCAAAGTCTTGAGTTCCTGGGGTCTTTACATGCTGAATCTAGTTAAGTATTTATTATTTAGATGTTGGGTCCTGTTCCTGACTTGATCCGTATTAAGGTCCAAAGGGTCCAAAATTAAACTTTGTTTGATTTTTTTCAAAAATGTAATTATTGGTGTTCTTTGATATGCTGAATCTAACCGTGTATTTAGATTTTGAATTTTGGGCCCTGTCTTCAAATTAAACCTTATTTAAGGTTCAAAGGGTCTGTTTGATTTTTTTTTATGATTGGAGTTCTTTGATATGCTGAATCTAATTGTGTAGTATTCAAGTGGTCCAAATTGGGGTCCAAAATTAATCTTTATTTGATTTCAATTAAAATTGAGTAAACAGGGTTCTTTGGTATGCTGATTCAAATCATAAATTTGGGTTTCTGATATTGGACCATGATTTGTAAATGTCAAATTTTAAATTATTTCAGTAGTTAGACAGCATTCATTCTGTGTCAGAAACTATGCTTGGTCAAATATTTAATCAGAGCTGTATTGCTCAATTAATATAAATTATAAGTAGAGTCATAATTAAAAGTAGAAAAAACATCTTATCCCCGGCTTAGTATATTTCTAGGAGTTTAATTGGTTAACGCACGTCGTTACAAAACCCTTAGCCCCTGGGTGTTGCTAACCCATATCCCCAGACGTTGCTACCCATTACATCGGGGAATTTCACGCGCGTTTTCCTTAGTTCCATGGTTGTTCCTTATGAAATATCGAATTCTGTAGATTTTCCATCATGTCTGTATAATTAAATACGTAATCCACTAATGATTTTATCTTATTACATCGATTATTTGCACTCATTTTAGTAAATGCATCACTATGCAGCCACATTGTCAATGAATGGTACTACTGACTTAGCTATGCAAATGACCCACATTGACGTCACACCGTTTAGGGTGTAACTCTCACAACATTGCGCGCCAAATTCGACCCATTTCAGTTTCTCTGTCTCTAGTTTAAAAACGTCTAATATTTGTCTACCTGTAGGGTTCTACCAAAGGTAGTACACTACACCCCGTTAAAAATATGTCAAATTCCCAGATTTCAATAAAAGATATTTAAAAAATGGAAAAAACTTTGCTTTCACGTTAAACTTTGTGGTCGAATTTCTCTAAAAATCGCCAGATTTAGACTAAGACCGGGGATAAATTCGTTATCTACGGATATGAACGTAGATAACTTATAATATGATTATCTAATTTTAGAGAAGAAATTATTTTTGTAGTTTGAAATTTACTGTTCAGTATAAGATTATAAAATGGTTAATAAGAGCTGTAAATCTGTCATCTCATAAAGGATCAGCTAATATACTTAACAAACAGATGTTTAAAACCCAAAAAAATAACTGATAAAATTGAGAATGGAAATGGGGAATGTGTCAAAGAGACAACAACCCGACCATAGAACAGACAACAGCAGAAGGTCACCAACAGGTCTTCAATGCAGCGAGAAATTCCCGCACCCGGAGGCGTCCTTCAGCTGGCCCCTAAACAAATATATATACTAGTTCAGTGATAATGAACGCCATACTAAACTCCAAATTGTATACAAGAAACTAAAATTAAAAATAATACAAGACTAACAAAGGCTAGAGGCTCCTGACTTGGGACAGGCGCAAAAATGCGGCGGGGTTAAACATGTGTATGAGATCTCAACCCTCCCCCTATACCTCTAGCCAATGTAGAAAAGTAAACGCATAACAATACGCACATTAAAATTCAGTTCAAGAGAAGTCCGAGTCTGATGTCAGAAGATGTAACCAAAGAAAATAAACAAAATGACAATAATACATAAATAACAACAGACTACTAGCAGTTAACTGACATGCCAGCTCCAGACTTCAATTAAACTGATTGAAAGATTATATCTTCATCATATGAATATCAGGCACAATCCTTCCCGTTAGGGGTTTAGTATCATACCATCATAACATATATGAGAAGAACATAACCCGTATCATGCCAACAACTGGTTTTTAAATAAATGTGTTTAGTGCCGATGCAAAGACCCTATAAGTGAATCAATATTAACGCCAAAATATGCAATCTTTAATGAGCTGACAACAGTATCGTAACTGAGTTTGTTAATATGGACTAAAGACTTTTTTGTTGAATAAACTGAGTGTGAGCTTTCCTTTGTAATACTGGTTATTTCAAGCGTTACTGTCAAGTTTTGTCATAATCAGTTCAATAGCTTGAGAAAAATCTAGTATAATGCTAGACGACATCTACAGCGATTCGAACAAAATTTTTTCGAAAAATTCCCAATGAAGACGCATCATGATAGAATATAGTGTGGACCAATAAAAGATCAAATATTTATCTTATCTACCAAAAAACAGTTGAATATGATATAAAAGATGACACTAGGATGATAAATGCCACTAATGGACCTGTTTGTCTTCATTATGAGGTCACTTTTGGTCCATTTATACCTCTCATTTCCTCATAATTTCAACTTTTTAGGCCAATAAATTAAAATTTTGGGGTAACTTTCACTCATTAATGAAAGAAATGTGATGATAAATGAGTAATTGAAGTATTCAAGCTGAATGAACCATCCATATAAAAGTTTACTGGCTCCATGGAGGTTTATATAAGTCTTTACGTAAAACTTAAATTTAGGCCGCGTTCCAGAGATGGACATCTAAAGCTTCCCTTTTATTGAATAATTTGTTGTAAATACTTTAAAAAATAATTTCATTTACTTATAACTGTTTATTTATTAAATTATTACTTAGGAAAAAGTTTTTTATTATAGCAATATATAGGAAATAAGGAGAAAAAGCTCCCCAAAACACTGAGTGTGGCTTGTTCTGTCTATTAATATTTATGGTACAGCCTATTTGAAGGCAATTTTCTCTTAAAATGTGTTTTTGAGACTCAATCCATTCAGAATATTTCATTTTTGTCGAGCCTTCGACTTTAGTCGAAAAAGCGAGACATAGCGATCCTACATTCCGTCGGTGTCGTCGTCGTCGTCGTCATCGGCGGCGTCCACAAATATTCACTCTGTGGTTAAAGTTTTTGAAATTTTAATAACTTTCTTAAACTATCCTGGATTTCTACCAAACTTGGACAGAAGCTTGTTTATGATCATAAGATAGTATCCAGAAGTAAATTTTGTAAAAATAAAATTCCATTTTTTCCGTATTTTACTTATAAATGGACTTAGTTTTTCTGCCGGGAAATATTACATTCACTCTGTGGTTAAAGTTTTTAAAATTTTAATAACTTTCTTAAACTATCCTGGGTTTCTACCAAACTTGGACAGAAGCTTGTTTATGATCATAAGAGTGTATCCAGAAGTAAATTTTGTAAAAAAAAAAAAACATTTTTTCCGTATTTTACTTTTAAATGGACTTAGATTTTCTGCCAGGAAACAACACATTCACTCTGTGGTTAAAGTTTTTAAAATTTTAATAACTTTCTCATACTATTTTGGATTTGTACCAAACTTGGACAGAAGCTTGTTTATGATCAAAAGCTAGTATCTAGAAGGAAATTTTGTAAAAAAATAAATCCATTTTTTCCGTATTTTACTTTTAAATGGACTTAGATTTTCTGCCAGGAAACAACACATTCATCACTCTGTGGTTAAAGTTTTTAAAATTTTAATAACTTTCTTATACTATTTTGGATTTGTACCAAACTTGGACAGAAGCTTGTTTATGATCAAATGCTAGTATCTAGAAGGAAATTTTGTTTTCTTCCAGTTAACGTTACATTCAGTCTGCAGTTAAAGTTTTTAAACATTTATTAGATTCATAAACTATCCTGGATTTTTACCAAACTTGGACAGAAGCTTCTTACAATCAAAAGATAGTATCAAGAGAAATATTTTTATTGATTTACTTCCTCATTTTTGTTGAGCCTGTGATTAACAGAAAAAGTAGGCGAGACACTGGGTTCCGCGGAACCCTTACGAATTTTTGTAATATTTCACATAAATAGCATGAAATTTTAACAAATGAGAATACACACAAGGTCAAGGTGAATGTGCAGCTTCCCATATTAGGTGTAAAAAGTAAAATCACAAAAATACTGAACTCCGAGGAAAATTCAAAAAGGAAAGTCCCCAATCAAATGGCAAAATTTGGGGTAACTTTCACTCATTAATGAAAGAAATGTGATAATAATGAGTAATTGGAGTATTATTGTTTCTGTTCAGTTTGCTCACCTATGTGTGTCAATATAACGGAACTGTAAACAATTGTCATACAAGTGGGAGGTTGATCTAGCTATAAAACCAGGTTTAACTGATCATTTTCTTCGGAAAATGTCTTTGCAAAGTCTGGTATATGACTATAATAAATAGATAGAAGTTCTATATTTTATCAAAAATGATGAGCAATACAAGATCTACATATATGCCAACTTGGCCAAAATGATCAGTCTACTTTTATAATTGATATGCTAAATTTTTTTAACAAAAACTATAGATGGTAGAGAGAAACTGTAAAGCCAAAATTGTCAGTCCACTTCTTATTTATTACTGACTTTGAAAGACGATGTTACCCATTTATGTGTCGTGGCAAAAACTATAGTAGAATGAGAGAAACAACAGAAAAAATTATAAGCTATAAAAGTTCAACAAAAAAGATACTTTAGTCATAAGTTGTATTCTAATCTAGAATGTTGGAAATTTGCCCTTGTTGAAAATACACACAGAACTAGGTGAGCCTTAAGTGTGCCGAAACCACTGTGAATCATGTCAGGACAT